CAAATTGAGTGAAAATTTGAGACAGGGAGAATATTAGACAGTGACAATTTGAGACAGTCCTAAAGTCAGTCTGCACATACAAGTTCTTTTTTACACTCCATTTTCTGGTTTTCATAAGATTCTCCGTGAATCTTGGGGATTAATATATTTTATATTGGAGAATTTCATATTCTTTGTTATAAATATTCCCTTATAGTACTGTTGAGCTTTAGATTTTTTTCTATACAAGGTGTTATGTACATAAATTTGTGTAATTTTTCTTAATCATGAGAGAATATTTTGCACAGTTAACCTCTGCCAATATTCATAAAAAGGAACAATGTTCTGATGTTTTTATATATAAGGTGTGCCAAAAAAGTGAACCGATTTTTGAATTAGGATATCTCCTTTAAAAATTAAGCTACAACAATGAAAAAACCAACGGAGGCCGTATTCAATTATTTTTCAAATGGTTTTTTTGTCCAATAGTTCGAAGTGTCATCGAACATTCACAAAAACCATTTGAATGAAAATTTTAAAAGTTGTCACGCAACTCCTCCCACCAAGCTGCAGTCTGGAAACCTCCCAAAAATTACCTTGAAATTAGGAAAACCGACATCAGTGTACCAGAAACAAAATCCAAGATAAATACAGACAGGAAAATAAATAACCCCATAAAAACCCACCCAGGCACAAACCAGCAGGTAACACAAAAATCATCCATGACCATGCACACAAAAACCCAGGACGCAGGAAATCATGCCACCAGACAACCAACCAATTAGATCACTGAACATTCATCGGAAGATTAGCCAGAAAAATGACACCTGGGTGGACAAAGAATACTGTACCTAAAACTCCTGCCGTGGTCCACAGAGAAAAAAAAATTTCCTCACTGGGAGCACTGTAATATCCCTCTCATCAACTTTTTTCTCTCACTCCTACCTTTTCTTGTGAATTTTGAGAATGTGTGCACACTGTGGAAGATATAATTGATTTGCACGTTACATTTGTGCACTTCATATCTCCATGAAAACAGCCCTGGAGATCAAGAGCTAGTGAAACTCCAATGCAAATTCACAAACGCACCTACCATAATGCAAAAGCACAAACACAACAAAAAAGTTATTGCATGACAACTTTTTTTAAACATTTTCATTCAAATGGTTTTGTGTTTGATGACACTCGGGACTACAGAACAAATAACCATTTGAAAGAGAATTGAATAAGGCCTCATTTGGTGTTTTTTCCATTGATGTAGCTTACTTTTCAACAGATATCATAATTCAAATATTGGTTCACTATTTTTTGCCGACCCTGCATGTATTAGAGTGTATTACGGTACATTGAATCAAGGGGAATGAAAGCAAGGAAATGCTTATTTCTAAAATAGTCCGTCATTGTCTCAAAATGTTGTCTGTCTCAAAATTGTCCTTGCCTCCAAAAGGGTCTGTCTCAAATTGGACGTGTCTTGAGTTTTCCCTGTCTCCAAAAGTCTGTCTCAATTTGTCCTAGATCTTAGTGGACTGGTCCATCTTCAAGATTCAAAAAAGAGCAATGAAATATATGAAAAAATTCAGTAGGTAGCTCAACCACACATTTGAAGAACCCCTCTCTGGAGGTGAAGTGTTGCATTCTTGGTGAAAATAGTAATAGTAGTATACATCAGTACAATACACTCCAACAATGTATTCAATTTAAAACTTGAACAGACACATGTCCATGCAAATTTTCCAATTTTGACATCCTCTTTCTCTCTCTGGTAAACAGTAACATAAATGAAGTGAACAAACCAGAATCAACTTTCACAATTCAGGCAGTAATTCTTGTATTCATTCATTGAACAAGCAAGTTTGCTCCCACCCACAAACCTACAAAAATGAACTTATGCAAAATAATCTCTTGAGATTTGGTGATAAAAGTACAGTACTGCAATGTTAAAAAACACTCAGGAAAAATTTACAGAATTAGAAAGCAGACCAGCAATGGCCAACACATTGTAAAATGGAAAATAGGCAGACATATAATTTACAAAAACCAATGCATTCTTCATCTTTTTCCCTCATCAAGTTGCTAATGCGGGGGGGGGGGGGGGGGTAATCACAGGAAAACATAATTGGTAATACTCTGGGCATTAAATTGCTTCTTGAATGAGTTGACAGGATGATGCTGAACTTGGAGGCAGGGATTCATTTGCCTGATTGGTCTTTCACTTCCTTTAAATTCATATGAAGTTAATTTTTCATAGCTTTTCTCCTGTGTGCGTGAATAAAATGATGGCCAAAAGGTCCCCAGAAAATTTGATTCATTAAAGTTTATGGGGAAAGCCTTTGAGTTGAAGAGATTTTCAATGCCTCATTTTTAAGGGAATTCAGAAGGGACTAGAGACTAGTGAATAATGTTCATGGGGAGGAATTTGACTTAGAGAGGTTTGAGTTATTGAGGTTCAACTGCAGCAAGGAACATTTAAACATAACATGCCAGAACAAATTCACAGGAGTAGGACTCGTAATTAGATCTAGTATATGTGCAGCAAATTCACCAGATAACAGGTGGTCCTGCAAATATTGTCAGCATTTCTGTATCTTCTGGTCATCCAACTTCTTCAGGTCGACAAAACGTTTGCACCCAGTAAAAATACTAAAATTACCCATTATTTTCCCTTCTTTGCAGTATTGTACAAGTTTTGCATTCTACTCACTTGTACATATACTGTACATGTGAGTAATTGAATGACAAATAAATTTCAAGTGGACAGCTTTTCAGTTCTCAGTTATACATTGGAATACTTGACTGTAGTAACATAAATTTTCAAATCTGAACTCAATCATACATTTAGATTTCGGCAAACCGAGGTTTTGGAAGATTCATTGGAGGTCCCCAACTTCCTCTTCTTGAACAGGATTCCAACAAGTATCAGGAAAAATTATGCTGGAGAGGGAACAGACCACCAGTTGTTCCCCTACAATTTTCCTTCCACATCCGCGACCAGATGACAGCAAATAAAAATCTCCTTCCCTCTCCTACAGGAAGACTCTCCCAGTTGATTCTCTTTCCCTTCAGAAAGAAACTAGCGAATAAAAGACAGAGGAAGCAAAAATGGCTCTGCCCAACAAACACATTCATCCTCCTCTCTTTCCAACTACACATAATAATGAAAATATAAAAAACCATGAGCTGCATTCCCTCCCTTTCCAGGCGCGGTACGGTATCTATACTGTACGGACATTAACCTCAATAACCGCCCTCTCTCCCAACACACGCACATACCCTCCCGAGAGGAAGACGGCCAAAGCTCGAACCACAGTGAGGGAGTACGGGTTTAACAAAGGTAAGAGGGACCATCTATCCGCAAGCCTCCGCGACTGTCTGAACGGACAGGAACGACATGAACGTATGCAGGATGCTCAACATGTGGACTGCAGTACATGGGACTTCGAACTATCTCGGATCAATGAAGGGACATTTGAAATACAGTAGATACTGCACGAAGAATCTGATAATAAATATAAATGTAATCCAACAACTATCCAAGAACAAAGGACCAACAGCCGCATAAAGACAAACTATGTAATACAGTACATACATTACTGTATATGTATTTTTGTTGAAGGAATACTGTCTTATTCATCGACTTGGATCGACAGTATAAAGAATACGGCATTGTATATTTGAGGGAAACCGAAGCTCGAAGCATTGCAACTTGAATGAAACGTTAAAATTATGTAATTTAAAAGTAACATCCAGCAGATCGAATTGCATTTGTGAACAGGTCTGTGAACAATTTTTCAACCGAAATAATTAATGTACAATACACTTTCTTCAGTGCAAAATTGGCGTTGAACTCCGGATGTGGTTTACATTCAATGAAGCATTATGCAGTACTGTAATCATACATGCATCTTGTATATCTTAGATTCTCGGTTGAAGTAGATCACTGCTTTTGCTCAACACAATGACTAGAAAAAATATTACACTTGATTGATCACACCCTCACCACAATATTTAGTTTTATTACCCGCTATGACCTTGATGATGCCCTTAGAAAAAAGAACCACGCCGGGACATTAACTTATGCAGAATACGTGGCTGTCTTGGAAGTCACCACTGAGCAAGAAAAATATTTCATGCCAACAGCTGCAAAAATTATCGGCCTTCAATGGTCCAATCATGCAACGATCAACAGGGAAAGCGATGCACTTGAGCAAAAAACTCGAATGTCGGGCCAATGTGAAAAAAAAAACAAGTACTGTACAGAAGTTATATGTGCCAAATGTTTCTCTCAAACATTAGAAAAGGGCAAATTATCCTTTCTCATACTTATTATGCTGTATATGGGTACACTCTTAGTACCACTTGCTAAAATCTAAATATCCTACGCATTTTGAAATCTGACAAAGAACTTCACGGTAAATTGTGTCCAAAAGGTTGACAATGGCAATTTTTCACCAGAGGCGGAGAACATCCAGCCGCTAGGTCACTAGAAAAGGTGAAATGGTTACTTTTCCAAGGGACATAAAACTATACCCCACTGAAATTTTTTAATAGTTGAACATAGGGCGCTCCAAAATCGACTTGTGTTCCTCGTTCAAATGTCGTCACAGAACTAACGCACTCACCCACACCTCAAGCACCACCGCAGAGTTTTTGGCTACTGTATTTCTGACATAAAGTAGAGGAAGACCCTATGCATTCTTCTGATAATTGCTTTTTTCTTTTCTGATAACACATTCAAGTATGTTGCCATGATGCTTTTATTTTTCACTGAAATTCTCGAAGCATTGCATCCGCCATGACTCAGGAATTTTGTTGGAAAAAAATTTGCTACGAAGGTATCTGTTTCAACAAATTTTATCCTAGAGGAAACTTCATCCCCATGCATGGCAAATTTACAACATCCTTGACCTATTGTTGAGGCGTCTCTCACAAAAGCTCCAATTCCAGAGTAAATAAAACACCTTAGAAAACCGCGGACGTCAATCGCCGCCGAAGTGTGGTGAAAGAAAAAATTCTAAACTCACCAAGATTAGAAAGTCGAGGTTTCAAGATTCACTCAAGTTTCACAGTCACTTATTCTCAACATCCTGCGAAGAAAAAGAGGGCGTATAAATCGTCATGCAGAAAATTCTTCGGAAATCCAATGAAATCTCCAACAGTACCAAGCCCCACAACATTTTAACCATTCGCTAACCGCTAAGAAATAGAAGTAACAAACAGAAATAGGTTAGGCCGAAAAACATAAGGAATTCCACTTCGAGGCCGATTTATTCGCATGAGGGAACGAACATTCTGTCCCAGATCTGAACTCCACATCACGAAGTCATTCCGATTTCACAGCACAGGATCAGCACAGGTCAGTAGGAATCTTTCAGCTTAACCATTTCGCTCTTCTATCAATGATCCTTCCACAACAGAAAATAAATCAAACTTTGTAATCGCCACGAAATCAACCGTACGATTCGACATCGTGAAAAGACACATCCAACTTCACAACGAACGAAAAGTAAGTATTTATTATTAAAACACGTGATCCATAAAAAGTCCGGTTCCCACTAAAAATAAAATGACTTCCACATGAACAAATAAGGATCAAATAAAAAATACGCCTTTGCACGAGAACAGGACTCAGTGGGAGTGGTTTCCAATGGTATGGAGTGCCTGACTTCAATGATTAAATTCTGCACGTTTAATCCACAGGCGATTAAAAAAAAAAGCCCTCGCCGTGCGATGCATGTCTCACCAACGAACCGTTAATAAGTTAATTCTCAATGCATACGATCGTAAAACAGCGCTCAGGCTTAAATAAAACAGAAGAGCGAATAATTAAATTCCGATCAATATCTCGCGAAGACGAAATGTACAATCCCAAAAACTAGTAGTCGATGGTCTTGATAAACTCCACAGCAGATGCGAACTGGGTCCACCAATACTCTTCCTCTCCGCTTACCAAAATTCCACCGCTGAAGCTATTGACGTATTGGATTGTTGACAATAGGTGCCTCGGGTTAGCCTGAGTGAAAGTAAAATCATTGAATAACACACAATAGGCCGAACCTTGATTTCAAGCAATAATGTAATTTAAGGGGTAACCCAAAAACCCAAAGACCGTAACAAATTTGGAATTCCGGATAGAAAAGTTACAGAGAACACAAGCTCAAAACAACGATTACGTTCGTTCTGCTAAGAATAAAAACGAACTTTAACTTGGAAAATTTAAATTAAAAAAAAAGTCGGAATACGAAAACACTCTGAAGAACATGAAATCATTCAGGACAGATTCTCATGGACGCATTTGCTAAGAACCTCGCAAGCATTATGATAACTTCAGAAGACTCTCAACAATTTTATCTGCATAACGAATTTTTTGCTGGTTCGCTGAGTTCGTTTGTAGAGAGAGTCCATCTGTACTGTAATAAAGATTGAAATATGAGAAAAATATTCAAGCTCAAAAAGAAATTACTGAAATGCAATTCGATCATTTTACATTCTGATGTCATTTCCATTTCAAATGTGGTCCATAATTATCATGTCCATCCAAGTTCCTGGAAACATAATTTTAGACGCTGCATTCGTAAACAAAAGACTGTATTGACACAATCTTTGAACGAGGATAAGCTTAAATATAGAATTCAATAAAATAGCAGTCATACTCACTTTTATCAAAACATACACGAGAACAGGAATAAAGTCGTCAGCCGAATGAGCTTTCTCATCGGCGATAGACAATAATGTCATGATGGTCTTGGCGCATCGACATACGCAATTGATCTTGTCTCTCGGCGCTTTGTACGCGTTGATCGTTGCGATTTCGGCCTGAGCAGAGGCCCACGGACACTCCAGATGATACACCTGATGAGGAAGAAAAATCTATTGCGCCTGTTCTCGGATTTCATTCCAACTACACACTGCTTAAAAATTTGCCACTCAATACCGGAAGCTGGATCAAGCTGAAACTTCCCTGTTCTCATTAAAAACTGATGAATTATTAAAGAGTTATATTATTGAAAATGGCCCCACATTTTCCATGAGCAGATTGACGAAATAAGTCACCCATTGCCTGAAAAATTGGATAGGGTTCACATCCGGCCTAGAATAGGGTCATGCTTTTATGTAAACGGGAAATCCGCCTTGAAGTCCTGCGGCTCGACGAAATGTAATCGGAACTCTAATCCAATACTTTCCCAAGAAAGCATTACGAACCTTGGGGATACGGAGTGCCTTGTGATTTGGAGTAATGATCTTGGACAGTTTCGCCATATGATCGTGCAGAACCTGATCACGCAAAATATCGCCATCGCCGTTGGGGTACATGGCCAATACATAAATTTGGCTCATCACGGCTCTCTCCAGCGCCATAGACCCCAAATGACGTTGTTCATCGTTCGCAGCTGCCCATTGAACATCCTTGTCCAAAGCAGCATTTGTTTTTTCGAGGAACTGCTTCACGAGCTCCGACTTCTCGTCGGAAGCATTCAGTCGAGCAAATTCCTTGCGAAATTCGGTAACACTCGCTTCGCATTTTTCCAAAAACGAAGACGCGCACATCGACACCAAGAAAGTGCTGCACACGTCCTTGTCCTTCTCAACGCGATTTAGGAGACGTTCCAGGAAGGAGAGCGCCGAAAGCAACCCTTGTCGACTGCGTATAAGATATGCGATGTAAGGCGTTCGTTTCTTGTAGTCCTCTTTCAGGGCGCGGAACAGCCGGACGCAACCAACAGCATCCAGCGTTGAGATGCAACGCAGAGCTTCGTGTATCTGAGCACCAAGAAATCGGTCCCCGACGTTGATAGCTTCTGCCAACTGAAGCTGCAAAAGCCCTCTGAGCTCGTTGTCATCACTTCCTCGCTTTCGCTCACAACCGTTCTACAGGAATTCAGAAACTAATTTTACCGATGTAAACTTTGATTTACAAATTCAGTGCTCATCTGGTTCACGATATCGAATTTCTCGATGAACCAGGAGGTTTCCTTAGAAATAAAATTGTAATCCTCCCCAAAATTTAGGCCCTGAAATCAAAATCATAACAAATTTTATTTGGAAAGCAATCCAGAATAAAGATTTAGAATCGGGCCATTTGTTCAACAGGCACGTTCAGCTCAAACCGTTCGGTTTCAGCTAGAATTCAGCATTTCGTTGTTGTTTCGAAAAAAAAAAAACCTTGCACTTCATCTAATAGAAGGAACCTGAGAAATTTAGCTCTCGCTCCGGATAAGCGCCGAGGAGTTCACTCGCGTGAAACACGCCTACTATCTTAAAACGTACTGTACATCCTTTTTTCGCTGAAGTATAGCTCAATTTTTTTTATATACTGTATCTAAAAACTGGTTGAAGAAACGCAACTCATTTTTTCAAGTATGGGGGAAAAAGGCGTGGATGGCTCACGTTTGAATACGGCAGACACGCAATATTAAACGAGACACAATTCATTCAGGAAAAACGACGATGGTTGGACTCACGGCTAGAGAATTCCTTGGCCTGTCGCCGAAAGGCGCGTGAGGGAATATCTGGAAGTCGGCAGTTGACAAGACTAGTCGCAGCTTTCGTTTGGCGTCCTCAAACGATAATTTCGCGTCTTGCCCATCATCAGATTTAACGGAGTCGACAGTCATCAATTCCGCGACTTCTTCATCTTCCACGGAAGCCTCAACATTTCCCAATACAATACCGTGACTAGGCGACGCGGAAACCGAACCGGATTGATGTGAGTTAGTGGAAGAGTCGGGCAGATCACCCCGTCCGGACTTCTTCCTGTACTTGGCAAGGATGTCGTCACTGGATTCCGCTGGTCGTCCGGGATCCGAGGAATACTCCGATGCTCCTCGTCGCGGTGATAACCCGCTTGAGGACCCGGCAAAATCCTCGTGCGGATTTCCAAAAACCGGGATCCCAGGGGACGCGTCATTGCTGCCGCCTCGAGCCGGTTTCCGGCTACGCCCTCGAAACGGAAGCCGGAAACCCCCTTTGAAGAAACCGCGTTTCGAGGATTTACCCATCCCTGATTCATCCAAGCCGATTCCACTCCCGTCCTAAAACGCAAGAAGTAAACTTCACCTGGAGAAATGTCATGGGATGAGACTACGAAAAAAAAAGCTTATTAAAAGTTGGTTAGTTATAGCTGAAACTGGCTCCCGCACAACTTCGCAACTACGAACTACTTCTCCAACCTTAAAAGAAAACCAAAATCTATCTAGCCTTCCTTAGAAGGATGAATTAGTTTCGCGCGCAGTTCATAAATGAATCTGTCGACAATTGTCTAGATGACTACTGTATATTGTTAATTCGTTCGTTTTACTTCCAAATTTCTCCCAATCCCATGAAACACATTCCTCAGTTATTCTAATCCAAGAATTAACGCATTCCCTAATGGGGAAGGCGATGCAAAAGATTCAGGAAGGATCTTGACTCTGATTTCATGCTCAGGTGAAAGGGTTGATGCACAGTCGACGATTTTTCTTCAGAGTCAACAAAATAATTGAGGGTGGTGTACGGAGACAATTTTTGAAGACAGAAAGTGATTCAGTGAATTCTTCAAATTTAGTTATATCTACGAATTGATTTTATCTTCCATGAAGAACTTCGCCCACGACAGAAATGAGATATCTCTCCTACTTCCAATAAGGGTAGACAGATGGTACACATGCATGCAGAAGCGCTGCGAAAGCAGCTTCGAAGGGCAAAAAAAGCTTACTCGGTTCGCCGAGTTGTCAAAAGAAATCGATTTTGCAATTTTGTTCCCGTCGACAGAAACATTTGCTGGAGCAGCCGAAGCTAGATTCCCTTCCACCTCTGCGGCAATGGCATCTGAGCTGCTCACTTCACCCTGCTAAATAACCCAAGAAAAGGGTTCTCTATTGCGGGCTCTCGAGAAGGAAAAGCTGTGGCACTAATATGCCGAAAATCTTCGAAAAAAAAAAACAAGTCTAACCAGATGCTCTTTTGTTCCAAGTTCATCAACATCCATTGCCTCGTGTGAATCAGATCCGGAGGATCCAGATCCCAACGCCGCAACGACCGAACCCCCACCGTTCCGAAGGGAGTCAGCATCTTCTCTGAACGACATTGAGAGAGACTCAACTCCGCCGACGGCGCCATCAACAACAACGCCAACAGAAGCGATTCCAGCGCCACCATTTACAGTTATCACAGGATTTCCACAAGAATTTTTCACTGAAATACAATAAAGAGACTTGAATGCAGTGCTCCAATCCTTCACTCGTTCGATGCCTCCGCCCCGGAGCTTAAAATCAAACCTGAGGGTTGTGCCTTTTGCGCTAACATTGAGGTTGAAGACCCGACACGGTCCTCTTGGGTGGCACGACGGCCCATATCCGTGGCCATTTGAAGACCGAACTCATCGGCGAAACGAACCACGGCCTCAGACCTTGCCCCGAGGGAAGTCGACGAAGATCCGATCGCCGGAACCACGTCTAAGTCCAAGTTAGCATCGAGGAAAGAGGAAACGCCGCCTTGCCGAAGAGCAGATGAAGAAGATGACACACTCGACGTTACGCTAACCGTTGACCCCTGACGAAATCGCTGGAAAGCTGACGACTGCGGCCATTGCTCAATCGGGCTTCGATTACCTGCCGAATGGATACGGAAAATAAATGCACACTTCAATTGAAGCATCAAGATAATGTAAAAATACGAATGCAGAAGTTCATGATTCACGACATATTAAAAAATAATTTCTTTAATGCATCACAATATACCGTGTTCGAGATATGGAAACAATGATCAGCCACATTTCGTCTTGAATTTCTCACGATAAAGATCGTTTGTTTTTTTCAGTCATAGCTGACAATGTACGCAACAAATGTATCCACCCTTCTCATCAGCAGGAAAACATAAAAATACAACTTCTTCCTGCCGTCGCACGTTTACTTCAGAATCGAAGAAATTTTTCGTGATTTTTACGATCGATGGCGATGATGTTTATCTTCAGAACCCAAGCCTTAAATTGCACGGTACCAGGTAAAAAAACAACTTGAGTTGTCTATGAAATATTTCTTTCTGTTCCAAACAATTCGTTACGAGAGGACAATCGAAGAATTCATCTTCTTTTGGATTCGATGACTCGCACGCAAATGGTTAGGAATTACGTCACGCTTCAACAGGTTCGATAGATGATGCCGCCGGTATCCATTGAAAATTAACGAAAATTAAAAATTTCGAATTTTCTCACCACGACTGTCGGAAGAAACGGCATTCTCAAGCTGAATATCTACTTCAATCTCGGACCGCGCCGTATCATCAGATCTGGGAGAAAAAAGAAAATTCAATCTTCGTCGATGTTAGTTGAAGATGGATCATCAATATCAACCTCGCAACACTGTACGAATCATCGGTATCAATTTCAGTAAGCCTCTCTGAGTCTGACGCCAACACATCCGTGCTCCAAGCCTCAGACGCTCCATCGATTGATTCTGGGACGTCCAACAACGGGTTCGCCTAATGCGGTAGGTACAAATTAGCAACTCCGATCAAACGAATTCAGGTACAGTATTTCAAAAAACCAAATAGAGCCCGTCTCAAAAATTAAGCATAACAAAAACTCAAATCACCCTCGGAACTCCGTGCGGTCCTATTGGCCCAAAATCTCTTGTCGGGTCTTGTCCAACGGAAAGCATCGCTGGAAGACCGCTAGAAGCAGCAAAGGGAACACCCATAACATGATTCGGCAACGCTGCCGGGGGCAATTGTCCATCCGGGATAGTTTCCGAATCGCTGGCCAAAACGTCCGTGCTCCAAGTATCAGAGACCAAAGAAACAGTCTCATCTCCTTGAATAAGAGACGGGCAAACAAAAGAAATTCATTAAAAGAGGGGCTTCAAAGGTAATATTTTCCAATATTTCAATACCTTCAAGGAAAGGCGGCCTCGGCCGTTGACCGTCCAGCAAAGACGGAAATTCGAATTTTCCGAATTTGTCTTGGATGTCTTCTCGACTTTGCTGTTTGCCGCCCATCATATTAGTCTGATTACCCGGTTGTCCTGGAACTGGGTTAGACATTCTGCCACTTCCTGGACGGGGCAATCGCAAATCGCTGAAGTTCAATCCTCCCTGACGACCAAGCCCAAGTCCAGGCTGACGTTCTGACGGATCTCCTTCATCCTCGGCCGACGGACCAACATTTCGCGCAGATCTGTTGTCAGGTCCGACACCATCGTCTCCTTCTGTTACTTGCGACGACGGCGTGTCACGACCTACCGAATTTTCAGCGTAGAATAAGCATTATGGCATTCAAAATTACGAATGATTATACAGTACAGGTACAAACAATTTTGGCATGAACTCTTACGAAGAGAATTTTTGTTTCATCAATCTGACTCCACCGAAAATAATTGAGCCAATTCCAGGGAAAATACTTCTATCGGAACCCAAAACTTCTGTTTTATTTTATATTTTATACTCCCAACTATATATTACACACACAAATGTAAAAATAAACAGTAATACAGTATCACAATTGTAAACGAAGAACAGCACAGGAACCTTTCTTCAAATTCAACATGTACAGTATTCAGATAAATGAACTTTAAGAATCCATTTCACATGCTTGAGCATTCGGACATCATCAAATTTTGAGATGATCGTATCTAAGCGAAAAAAAATTGTGATGAAACGCGATTTTACACTACATTCTTGTGCACTTCGAAATTCATGAATACTTTACCGGAAACATTGGGAGTTCCTCGTCCAGAAACATTGGCAGAAACCATATCTGACAAATTGTCGTAATTAATTTGATCTTCGGCGTTGTCATCCATTTCCAAAGACGAGGAAACGGAATGGTTGCTGGCAGCTTCAGATATAGCTTCAAGATTATCGCTCGTATTCCCAATCGAACCGTCATCCTGATGAATAATTTTTTTGATAAATGCATCAAACGGCCGAGAAAAAATGCGAACCTGAGACAGAGAAAATCGCGTTCTTTTTTCCAGAACCTCGTGGGATCCACCAGCGATGCCACTTGCTCCTCCACTGGCGAGACTTTCCTTTTCGTCTTCCTGGCTTTGCAAAGATGATTCTGACGGCAAAGCATTCCCTATCCTACCGTGATGTAACTGTTTATGTCGGATTCTCCTGCCTTCGACGTTATGTTCTTCTAGCGTAAGAAACTGGAACGAAAAAAGCATGAAAAGAAGTCATGATACCTCAAGCACTACGCATATCATAAGGAGAAGAATGACAGGTGAAATTTTCGAAAAAAAAAAAAAAAAGTAGGAAACGATGCACGTATACATGAGAAGGTACGTGTAAATTTATTAGCAAACCGGAACTCCGCGAAGAAACCGACCTTTTGTTCATTCAACATTCCAGGACATTCCGGAGAGTTCTGCTGAATCCGAACGACAAGAACATCAATGGATGGGGTAGCTCCTGAATGATCCATCGAATCATCTATAGAATCATGAAAGCCGCCAGCTGTGACTTTCTTCTTCACCTTTGATACTACAATATTAAAAACAGCTAAAATCCAACGTCGACGTTTGATCGCACGAAAATTTGATGATACCTTTCTGTATCAAATTTTTCCTCAGGGCAGCTCCGAACAAGCCTTGCGCATGTTCACCGTTGTTGAGAGAATTTTGTGAGCCAGACGCGCTCCCGGACACGGAAGCATGACCAGAATTATCTTCTTCCTTCGGTGTAGGCAACGCGTTCAAAAGCGAATCCAAAGCTTTGGTATCCAAATCTTCACACGAAGTGCGCCTCACACGACACGCGAAATTGACTAAAAAGTGCAGCTCTGGTTCCGTGATGAGCACCGCATTCCTGGCAATTCCGTCGAAGTGCGAAAACATTCCTCCGTTGCCGGCTGTCTCATCCATTGGCCCATTCAAAACCATATCGAGAAAAGGGGTCATCACACCCTGTTGTAAAAAATGAATTTAAAAAACCGTAGGTAGAATATGGAATTTGTTTTCGTTCAACTGACCTTAGGAAATTTTGCGTACAGATCGGCTTGCCGGGGATCAGTCTTTTCGTCCCATCGTCTCATCGCGAGAACTTGCAGGATCTGAGCGACTTGCATCAAATTATGCCTAGCCACAGGAGTGATGTGAGCGTCAGCAGCGATCCCGTAAGGTTCGGGATTGATGATTGCCGGGCAAATGAAGAACGAGAAGACCAAATCAACGCAAACAGAATCGACTTCCGTCGTTGGTCTCGGCGCGAGTACGTCACTTCCTAGATTAGCTCTGTGCGTCGACGTGGATAACATTTGATACACTTGACGCAACACCCACGAAAGACAACTCGGGAAGCAGTATGAGCTCCCTTTGATTCCATCGATGAAACGCGATGTCAAGGACGCCAATTTTTCCACGACTTGCTGCCGATGCTTCTTCATCGACGTTGCGTATTCAGAAGAATCATCACTACCAAACTTTTCCGCCTTTTCCTGCGGCGTGTACCTTTCGAGATTCTCCAACGGATCAGCATCCAAATACTCTTCATCCTCCATCAAAAGTTCGATGATTGGGTCATGCAATGCCGCAGTTAGGAACAATTTCGCTTGAAACAGTCCCTCACTCAAAGCTTTGTAAATGCGAGAAAACGCGCAACTTTCCCTTCGAAGCAGCCGACAAGGATCCTCGGCACCAGTCAATTGCGTTTCCATCAGATGTTTCAACAACTGCAAGGCGTAATCTTCGTCTTGCCGCAAAATGCAATTCCCATACAAGGAGCACATTACGATCGCTGAAATTTCATGCAACTCATCGCCAGGGTGACCACTTTTCTCTGCATTCGCCAATAACGCAGCCAAGGCTTGAGGATTCTCGCGGAGATATTGCAGAAATTCGCCATAGGACGCTTCATGGTGACCAAGTACCTTGTAAGAATCAACGAAATTCACAGCATCCAGAATGGCTGCTTTTCTACAGCAATCTCCAGGTGTGCTATCCAAACGAGCGCGAATAAGGGAATCCAGATTCGTTCGTTGCTGTCTCGAGATCCACGAAACATGCGTGAGTTTCTCCACTGTTTTCATGACGCGCTCATTCAGGTCTTGAAGCTGCTGTTTTTCAGAGGCTACGAAGAGGCGTTCTTGCCTCAATCGCTTGGCTAAATCCAATATTTCCGTCTTCATTTTGCTCTCGTCTGAGGAAAACAACATGTCAAAAAGATCAAAACGAGACCGTACGTCCAGGGTTACTCAAAAATTACCTGTGGCTGTGGAACCTTGCTTGCAAATCGAACCGATCAACCCGGCTCAAAAAAACGATTAAAAGAATAACTTCATTCTTCAAGACCGGACCAATTAATGAGGCCGCGAATAATCGCAATCTTTCATTCAAAACAATTCCGCACAACTGAAATGCAATAAAAAAAAAATTAAGCTGGAATGTGGACAGGGAAAATCTTGGAAATAAAACTTGTCACGGGAAAACGTTACGTTCACATGTTTGCATCGAACAAATCCATGAATCAACAGTAAAAATAGAGCCGTCATGCAAAAAAATGAAAAATTTTATATCAACCGTCGTCGGCAGCATAAATGGATGCATTCCGTCTCTTGAATTTTTTAGGCGGTTGGGATGGGAAATCCGTGGTTTGCTCGTCACACGGCGCATCCGCCGTAATAGATTCCGTAGCCAAGGTCTCAGATTTTATAATGTTGTCAGAAATCGGAAGACCACTCATGTTTTTAAGCGTAGTCGAATCATCGGGTGCTATGTATTTAGGAGTTCCAGCATCTTGCACCCCAGTCAAGTCAATGCAAAATAGTTCTTCACCCTCCACAGATAGCGCCTTTGGCTTCGGCAACTGTATGCGAGGTCTCGCCAAAGTTGAACCTTCTTCGTTTTCCCATTCATCATCACCCAACTCTATCTCATCAGGATTCATCGATACAGATGCTGAATTGTTCAGCGTGACATCAGCTTCCTCTTCTAGCCAGGGTCCATCAACGACAGCTTTCGGTTCATCAGCCTTTTCGGATTCTGATTCTCGCCGGAGAATTCCACTCAGTTTGGCGAGAGGATCTGTGACACCGAATTTCTTGCAAAATTCGACTGTTTGAGGATTTATCGCGATTTCAGAGGCGGCTTCAAACTTCTCTTTACTCGCGTCCGTTGAAACAGGTGCCGTATGAACGAAGTTTCGAGGTATGGAATAATCAAATTGGACTATTTGGTCAATTTCTTTCAGCTCTTCCTCGGTTGGCTTATAATCGTATCTGAAAATTGGAAAGTTTAGAAAGGTGAACTCTAGCACAAGACAGATACAGTTTTATCAATCTTGTAAGAACTCACCGTCCAGGGTACCCCGGCCCAGGCATGTAATTATCACCGACAGAAACGGAAAGCAAACCATCTGTCGACCTGAGCACAGCTAACCATTGGCGATCGTATTCAAATTCTTCTCCGCTTTCATCTATATCCGGATCCGGCAGTTCCAATACCTGCATTGATTCAAATGATGCAGTCGTAACGATAAAAAATATTAACACACTAATATTACCTGCAAAAATTGCCGCCTGGGTAAGCATTTATCCAGCGCAAGAAATTTAGTAGTTCTCCTCGTCTCCACCTCAGCGTCCTGATGAATGGGAACATTATGACTTTTCTCTTCCGAAGGCAAATAGTCCGATTACCAACCGTCTTATTTTCTGCTGCGTGTTCGATGAATGCGGAAAACTTCACGTGCAGATGACCGGAAAACCAATACTTCGGTTTCAGAACATCAAGAAGCTCTTGAGATGGTCGACTCCCGAGAGTATCATTCTCAATATCAGATCTGAGGAGAAATTTGGGCGTTCGCAATTACACTTTAATGACTTTTGTCAGAAAATAAAGGACTGACTTGAAAAACGGTTTCATCGATAGCAGCGCATGTTCGTCGCCGTGTCGATGAATTCCACGAGGCCAGTCATGCGACATCATGATATCCGGAGGAATATCTTGAAGCTTCAAAATAAATTTTTGAAATCAACATTGCGTCAAGATGCATGTGATTTAACACAAACCTATGGGGCATGAAAATATATCCACTCTCCTCGAAAAACAGGGCAAAAAAATGTACAAATGATCGAAGCATCTTTCGAGTTTTCAATCACGCAGTTTTTAATAGAATTCGAGGGGCGGAGGAACAGAGCGCGTCCATGTCGGCGTCACAGAACGTTAGCAGTTGGTGAGAGCGTTACCATGTAATCCTATTGAACGCAATAGCAGGGAACACGCGATTGACGCGAAAGTCACCAAGATAGTAAAATGCACACTCATATCTCCGAATGCAATCCTGTCATCGCTGGCAGTTGAAATAATAGCACATTTACGGTAATCAATCGTCCAGCAATGACGAACCCCTTTTGAAGTGCTGTACAGTTATTTCTTCGCGGAGAACCTTGATGAAATTAAATCTCTGACAAACCTATCCAATGGAAAGCAAATTGATATTTTCGCGCAGTACAAGTAATGAAGTAAGTATTTTCCATTATCGGAAATTTAAAAAATAAGTTTCTGACCATTCTGCGAACACCGCAGTTTTTAATTTGAAATTCAACCTAAAGGGCATGAGCTATTGCAAAACTGAAAGTGAAGTGAACCAGCATTTTGAATTTTAATTGAAAGACAGTTCACGGACAAAACATTAAGTTTTCTTTGTAATGAGAAACCTTTAGACCTGGCATATAGGAGTTTTCCTGTGACACCGCTCAGTGCACTGTAAACTCAAAGCCTCAAGTCTGTCACTAGTGTGCGTAAATGAGAGAGTGATGAGAATAGGGAGTGAGGGGATGGGGGGTGCAGTGGCGTGGAGATTTGCTGGCGCGAGCTACTGCTCCGGAACTACACCACCTGAACTTCCCCCTGTACTGTGCCATTTTTCTTGAGTATCCCACGACCCCTATAAAATTTCAAAAGGAGCCCCTAGCGCTCCGCGGAGCACAACTTGGGAACCTCTAACGTCAATATTGCAATCACAAATCATCTAACTTTATTTTCAAGAGGGCATTTATGACAGATTACCGAGTATGAACAATTTTTCCTCGTCATCTATGTACTTTAGAACTGAAAGATAATCCGCAATGCGAACCAGCTCAAACCTGTCAAACTGATCTTCGATTAACCTCTCTTTTTCTAATCAAGTACAAAAGCTGACATTCTTCAATCGAATTGAGATACTCGTGTACCACACGCATACGATATGCTTGAGAAAGATCAGAACCACATTTTCGAGAAGGCTACTGCTGGCAAATGGATCATGCTTCAAGCTTCTCTAATTCTGGAAGTTGGGACATTTCAGAGATTTTAATCGACGTCGACTCAAGCTTTTAATTTAAGATCGTCAGTTATGCTAAAACTTCCCGGTTCAATCCAAGTCACTGAGGAAGAAAGCCAGTCACGGGCGGATTAAATATTACAATACTGCGCTCATCAGAAATAAATTGCCATACCGAGAATTTCGATTTAGTCTGGTTGGCTGAACGTGCATAATCCATAAGGTGGTCATGACCAGATACATATTTCATTGTAAAAAAAAATCGAAACCTCCTGTATCGAGAGCATACTTGGGAAAAGAAGCGTTTGGCGAAGTACCCGTTACATATGACTAGAAATACGTCTGCCCTAAAATCCTCCTTTTTGGACAAATGCCGAACTTGATTATTTTACGAACTGCGGAGTGATTCAAGATCAAAATTGCAATCGAATTTAGCAGGGGTAAGTTGAATACTCACTAAAATCGAAATAAATAATGTAAGTATAATTACTCGCTCAAAAGGAAATAAATAAGTATAATTACTCGCTCAAATCGAAATAAATAAGTATAATTACTCGCTCAAATCGAAATACAGTAAATAAGTATAATTACTCGCTCAAATCGAAATAAATACTGTAAGTATAATTCTCATAGATTAACCACGCCTAAATTTTGATCCACTGAGAGGAAATACTGTACAGCGTTCGGTGTACTTTTGGTTTCAGCCACTTCATTTTTATCTCACGGAACTACTTATCGGTTGATACACTTTCCCAAGATGGACGTGAATGCCTGTACTTGGTACGGGATCAATACATACTGTTACTGTATTTGTTTCACTCGTTGGATATATTTTGAAAATTCCTGTTACAGTAGCTTTGATTGGCCGCGCAAAGGAAGAGGAAAATCCGCCTATCCGATCAACCGGTTTTTTGTAATTGGTACATTTACAAGAAGTCGAAAGCTAACCTGTTTCAGACGAAAAACCTCGAGGTTCCTGACGTGATACACTGATCGCTTGGTTTCCTCAGAATACGGTGGCGCTTCGAAGTGTCCTTTCAGATAATCGTGCCCTTTATAAATCCCGGAAAGTCCAGCGATCCTCACTCCGCGAAAACGAACGACGCCAGCGTACCCCAAGTAATATATATTAGGGGCAACCCAGCCTCCATACGGAAGTTCTTGCAAAAAATTAGACGCCTCGTGATTACCCCCAATGAAAATTGTGAGAACTGGCGCCTTCAGCTCTCCGTTGTAGTATCGCCAGAACGAGCACATGCTCTGGTACTTGATGGGACACGCCATGCATCGTAAATCGGCAGTGTTCCTATTACTCTGGAAATCACCGCAACACAAAAGCAGATCGATCCGCTCTCCAGTCTTCCGTTGCACGAGACCAATTGTTTCATAGATCACCTGCAACTCGCCGTGCGCACAACCTTCCACTGCGATCCTCATCGAAACAGTTCAAAACACACTGTTCTGAAATACGAAGTAAAACATAAAATACACGATTCGAAATTTAAAAAAAGCCCCACGAAGTATTTCAGACTTTAGAAGGCTCCACAAATGCACTCCCGCTTGTCTCACACTTTCAACCACGAACGCGATCATCCGCTCTTCGGAACTTCATCGAAGAAGTTTTCAGAGACTACGAATTTAACGCACTGGAATATCATGCTTCTTTCGCGAAGAATGTCGTTCGCAAGAAGCTGAAAGGAAAACAATTGTTAAAATTATTGAGATTGAAACGCGCAAATTCGTCAAACTACATTACCTTGGACAAAAGCGTCTGCCGTATGGGAGCGACGAAAGGCTTGCGAGGTAAATCACGTGTTGCTCCCGTTTTTCTATCACTGCTTGCCTTAACTACATTTTTCGTGACGTCAGCTTCGTTCGGTTCCTCCGCATTTTGTGTTTTGCGACGGTATTTTCGCTTCCTTCGAGCACTTTTTGCCAACGCTGTGTCTTTAGATTCAGGAATATCCGATTCTTCCTTAACATTTTTCGTTTTCTCTTCCGCCACGTCAGAAGATATTCGAGCGCTAGGAGAATTGTCAACATCTTCGGCTATCTCCCCGTCTTCGAGTTCCGGCATTGCGGCCGGCTTTTCCTCTGTCCACAGTGCAGTACATTGCATCAAAATTAGGGCCGGTTTCCAGAAAATCGAAACCAGAAAATTACCTGCATCACTTTTCACTTCGCCTTCCTCTTCCGAGGAACTGTAATTCCCGAGGATAGCCAAGAGCCCAGAACTTTGGGAGGCAGTTGGATCACGCAATCCCATCTCTTTTGAAATAGAACAACTTATACTTCAACCATCATAACAGAAGAGCATGTTATTAATATACCCGGATTCGATCGGCTTATTTCGGGATATTCCGTCTGATTCAAAGATTTCGAACATTCTCCATCTGAGTCGCTGATCTCTGAGCACTCATTTTTGGGTTTTAAAGAGCTGGCTCCGGCTTTCGCTACTCTTTTGGCCCTTCTTAAATCTCGGATTTCCTTCGACAACTTCATGAAAAATAATCAGTAAAATGAAATTACCCCGGCCAAGAATACCTACCAAATGTCCGAAGATCTTGTACACGCGACGCTTCATGTCCCTTTTGTGTCGCACCAAACCTGAAATTCATTGAAAATATAAGCACCATATAATGACCAACGTCAGTACTCAGAGCATTGGCATCCTCATGATTGAGATCAACGTAGTTTACTCGAACGCAAACAGTTTTACAAGGAATTGCATGACTATTAGACGTTAATCATTCGAACAAGGGTAAAAGTCGGCTGACCTTTCCACTTCGATCAAAATCAACCAGGTTAAAAATAATTTTTCGCACGTCGAGTGGCACAATGACGACTTCAAAATCACACACGATTTTGCATTGCTAGTTTTCTTCCCTTGTTGACTAGAAAGAAGTGACACTGACGCAATACTGTTCCAGAAAACTGGAACGAAGGAAGGTGGACTCACTCTGAACTCCATGGAAACGCTCAATATCACAAACATTTTCGTCATCATCGTCGTTAACATCGAACGTATTCGAAGCCGGTTTCTGTCTAAAGTGAGCATCATTTGTTTTTCCCATGAAACCTCGAGCTTTGAATCCAAAGCTTGATTTGGAATCTCCACCGTCAGAACCCTCCTCTTCGCTCAATTCACCGAAGAAAAACGGAGCCTCGGGATCTTCGATTTCCATAGGCGTGTTTTCCAGCGGCTGATAGTTCGGTGGATAGTGCCCAAAATTCGAATGAAATCTGCCACGGATTTGACGGAAACTGGATCTACCCCGCCCACGCCCCCGCTGAAATCTTGAAGAATCACTAGTTCTGTTGTGACCTCGACCCCTTCCTCGATTGGATAGGTAAGGCATTCTCGGATGCGCAAACTTTCTCACCGGAGCCTCCAGCACACCTTTCGCCTTTCTTTCTTCCGCATCGGCAGCTTTGCGTTCCACATTAGATTTCGTAGGAAAATTCCTGTCCATAAACATGATCGGGTATTCAGTCAATCGTTATAAACTTACAAAAATTTTAACAAAATAAGTCTCAACCCCAAAACAGTCATAGTTAAGAACACGAATTTTAAAATACAATACAGTACAGTATTACGGTGACAGCAGAAATCTTCGAAAGCAAGAAGACTCCCTCTCTCACTGCAAAAAAATGCTCCATACTAAGAACTTTTACGAGATGTCTGAAACATTATTAGATGGTGAAAAATACGAGGAACTTTTAACCTTCTGTCAATTTTAGAAGTCGATTCTCTACAGCAAATTTTTGGTTCCTCAGTTGCAGAGTTGTAAAGCAATCTTGTTTTCAGAGGAAGAAAAAACGATTGACTTATTTTGTTTCAAAGAAATAAAAACATATCAGAACTTTACTCAATTACGGTATACATGCAGAGTGCATTTTCCAAAGCCTTCAAAAAACATGAAAATTTAAAAATCTTCTCATAGTTACGTCACGTTCAAGTCAAGTACCTTAATACAATATTAGAATCGCAGGTGTATTCCCGCTACAAACTCAGGCGATAATATGTAAGTCCAACTTCAATTCATATGTCCAGCATACTTGAAGCATGAAATCACACATGAAATACCACTCACTTCCGACGCTCTTCCCTCCATTTCGCAATTTCCTCCGGAGTGTTCAAGGTTGGTATCCGGTCAGCTAATCCCGTGAGATGCTGCAGATTGATGTGCTTATCCAGAATCTTCGGATGCGCTATAATGTTGCAACCCACCCAAGGGCATTTCTGATGCTCGGCCACATGAGAAATACGCTCAGCTTCGCTGTGAAAACTGCGGTCACAAGCATCGCAGGTGTACTCCGTCTTCCGACCGCTCAGCCCGAATTGAGGACATCCTCTACCCCGATATGCTCGTCGCATCGTAAACTTCTAAAACATCAGAAACAGCATTCATAAAATCGGATCATCTGCAGAAAACGTGAGATGTAAATAGAAAACACTCAAAGCGAAAATCTCGAAGAACTCGCGAGACTTCATTTCACTGCATCAGAACCCCGTGAACGAATGAAAATTCACACCTCGAAATAGCAGACACGTGGAAGCAAGCGAATTTTCGAGATCAAATTTGCGTTCGTAAAACAAGATCCACACACCGTTAACTGATGGCATCTCCCGCGGAGAACAGTATACATTACACTCGTCGATTACTGAATGTACAACGCTCCGCGTCCTGGAGTTAAACTCCAACTACAGCACGATCCGGTAAACATACTGTGACCGCCACAGTAGCGAGTAGACGTCCCGGCTGATGACAACCAAAAAATTATCCCTCCTGAGCATCGCTATAAACCGGATTCCATTTAAATTTCGCTTAGCGACTCACAGGAAATCACAACGGAAATTATGAATCATGAACAGGAGCTCATATCTATGATACCGAATAACTGTGACACTTGTCCACAGCCAAAAAACAAAAACCGGGAAGAAATCACGATCATCAAAATAAAAGCGACTTGAATCACATCCTCAAAAAACAACTTTGCAAATGGAAGATCCGTGAATCAAAACACAGATGAGTTCAAAGCTAATTCCGAGTCAGACAGTCCTCTTGAAAAACAAGAAAAGAACCCCCTACAGAGTTCATCACGAGATTCAATGGATAACATTTCATCCACTCCATTACAGGGACATCAGAAAATCACATTCTACATATTAACATTGCGCCAAGTCGCAAGAAAGCTAGCGTCCAGCATCTTACACAATACAGTATCAGAACACGCACGATGACACCACAATTGAAAGCGGTTTTCTATATTTCAATTACTGTAGAAGACTTGAAGCACTTTCTTCCGTACCTGGACGGCCAAGAACACAAAATAAGAACAGATGAGAAATTATATATAATCAAAAGTAAAAGCTAATCAAAGCTAGGCAAATAATGCTGATACCACTCATGACTATCAATCTTCAGCAAAGTTCTCTTTTTTGGCATCCAAGAGATCTCGAATACATTCTGCATGTTTGTTTAGCTTTCCTGCAGCCAGGAAAATAAATGACTGTGCGTGATGAGCCAACACGTCTTCTTAAATTCTGTTGCAATCCTACATTTTAAAGCAAGGTTCGCTGCAGCTAAAATTAAAAAATACCTATAAAATCAAATCACTCCATGGTCTCGCCAGGAACGCAATCACCAATGCAAATATCCACAGCTTTGAAAGCAACAGCACCACTAGTCATATTACATTCAGAGTCCAAAGGTCCAGACGAAATCTCAGCATCATCCTTTTCGACCTTCTTTGGCTGATTATCTTCCCGATTCTGAAGGAAATCGTCGATAAAATAATATGAGACAGTTTAAAAAATGGACATTTCACCAAACGGGATAAACTGACTTACGTTCTTCGTTTCCGACATGTATTCAAGTTTCGCTGCCCTCAGCATTGCTGTAACCTTGTTACGTTGCTCACGATACGCATTCCAATCCTTCACGCCTCGATTTCGTCTCGCAGTTTGCTGAAGTTTATGTTTCAACATGATTTCTACTATTATTGCTGCATTCACCCACGGTTTTTCAGAGTCAGGACACGACTTCTAGAAGAACAGGAAACGTGAAAGCTCGTCGATATATTCAAGATGAAACGAAATACGCAAAAACGAACAGTGGAAGATCGAGTTTGGTGCGACTTCAAACGATTCGCCTTGTCACCCATGGATTTGTTTTTCTGTCGACGATACTTGACATCAGTCACGAATGAATTTGTTGGACAAGGAAATCCCATGGATCCGTGAACGAGATTTTGGCTCATCAGAGGTTGGAATCCAAAAGGCGAACGGCCTAAGAAATGCGTGAAAAATCACGAGAGAGTTCGGCAAACCGATTTATTCAAATAGTGTTTTACGTGGTTCAGGAGGAAGGCATAGGCTATTTCGAGGAAAAGCGAGTAATGGCGGAGCAACCGGCCGTGCATGAATGGAGTACGCGAAAAACGGACGGACGGCCGGCAAAACTGGCCTCACGCTCATGAGCGGCTTGATATCCGACTTATTGCTTATAATGTCACCGGTCAATGATTGTCCTTGATTCCCGAAGTGTTCGGTTTTTATCATTGCTTTTAAAATGTACGCACACGAACAGCTTTCGAATCACCGCCAAATTCTCTGCCCGCTTTTCTCGGCTCCTCATTCAGATCTGAAAAATATGAATTTCGTGACAAAAGACAACCAGTAAATTGAAACACCGGCGCTTGTTCATTCGAGGTGAAGCACGGCCATTACAACGCAAAGCATTAATGGGCATCTTGAATACGTTATATTCGTCGTGAAAAAAATAGTATCTGTATCTTTCTTTTAAGCTTAAAAATACGGTACTAAACCCTAACCAAGGACGACGTTCGTAATTTGACGCAGAAAAACCAATCGTAAAAAACGCAAGTTCATCGGTAAATAGCCAACCTAACATACAGTTCTTTTAACATAATGAACTTAATTCGAAATAAATTACCATGAAAAACTGAACGTTGAAGACCTTCAGTTCCACGCGCAGAACGTGCAACGCAGCGTTACCAAAGCTGCAGTACTTCGTGTTTCAACCTTGCCTCACCTCAAGTGAAAAAGCGCACGTAAAATCCTCAGTAAATCACGGTAAACTTCTAGCAATGAACGAATTCCTGTATTCCACAATCAGTAATCAACTAGTACTGCGACACTGTAGGGTAAACAGAATTCGCCGACGCGCAAGAATGGAGGAGAGGAAAAGCCACTGAAACTAGGAAAACAACTGACCCCTCACAACGAAAGGGATGAAAATTGGTAAACGGTGATTCCCCGTTCCCATCCAGCAATTACCAAGACAAACCCAGAGCGTAGAAGATATCAACCTACGACTAGTTTGTCACCTTCGAAAACGTGTTCGGGAACCTCTAGGTTCAGTGGGGCAGGTCCTTTGCGGATTCGTCCAGCGCCATCGTAATGTGAGCCATGACATGGACAATAATACCCGCCGAACTCACCGGCATTCGCGATGGGAACACAGCCCAAGTGTGTACAAACACCCAGGCAGACGAGCCAAGCTGGATCTTTCACTCGATCCTCATCCGCTTGAGGATCGCGTAACGTCGCTACATCAACTGCTCTCTCCCGGTCAATTTCTTGCTGTGTGCGATGCCTCACGAACAAGGGTTTACCTCGCCACTTGAAGGTCACATTTTTCCCTACAACAACGCAGTTAAGAAATGTTCTACAGGTCTCACATTAAATATAGCTCACCTTCGGGGACATCTGAAAGGCTTATTTCAATTTTAGCCAGCGCCATAACATCAGCAGAGGCACTCATACTCGAAATGAATGTCGTTGCGATACCCTTTCCTGCATAAGCACCTGAAACGGCCAGTGTGCTAGTTAGGAGGTAATTGAAGGCCTTTCGCCCATCTTCAGATTCCTCTGACTTGGCAGTCGGACTCTTGACGGAATCTCGTCGGTAGGCAGAAAAATCTGGAACCTGAAATTTTCGACGCAAGAGTGACAGCCACTACACTGAGACAAAAAGGAACATGTACATACCTGGATATCTGTATGCGCTAAGCGAACTTGCGATGGAGCACAGATTCCAGCGGAAACTCGTACCTGTCCACCCAACTTACGGGTATTCAACACAGTGCTGTTGAGACCAGCAACTGGAGCAGGAACCTTCATGAATTCTCTAGACGGGACAGGAATCTTTACGGACTCCGAGGGACCAGGAACCGAATGCGAAACTGCTCTATGGAGGGCAAAGCCGCGGGCGACTCCAGTTGTATGACACAATCTTGCACTCATTTTCAGAAGTAACAGGTACGGCACAGCGCAAGAAGAAAAGGCCGAGAATCAAAGTCACTCTGCAAGAACCGAAAAAGCAATGCATTTAATACAATTGTTCATTTCAATGGATCATTTTTCCACGTTCACTCAGTGACAGTGATACGAATATTTCGAGCCAAAATCACCCAGAAACTAGTGCGAAGTCTGAGAAAAATTGAAGTGAACTGCTCCTTCAAATACAGTATCATTCCGTCACGGATTCTGGACACTGATCCAGGACTGACAACGACTTTCCCTTTACTTGACTGCACAGGCAATTGAGCTTGAATGCTTCACATGCAGTCACAAGACCATATCTTGTGATTTATGTGAAAATATAGGTGTCGCTCTATCACGAACGCACCAAATTGTACTGTATCTTTTAACACGGGGAACCCTGTGGGGAGAATAAGCGAAAAAAATTTCGTTGTATACCGCAGTGGTCAAAAATTGAATGAAAATTTCCGCAATTGCCTCTGAAGTTGTTTGATTGCTGCAGATATCGTAAATGTGCTTCATCCTCAAAATGCATCCAACAGGCGTAATAAGACTTATTATCGGTGAGAAAGCGCATTCAAACAGTAGGAGAAAATAACTCTAGTTGATAATAAATGGATGAATGCGAGAAAAATGCTAAAAGGATTTTTTTTAGCATAACCAGCACTTGATTTCCGTCATGACTGGCCAACTATACTGTTTGTTTATAAGTATTTTCCCCTTGAAATTTGTAAAAATCAGTCGTGAGAGTACAGTATATGCAGTACAGTACATAGTTATGTCCTCTAGTGGCCTCAGATCATTTTCAATTTCGTGTATGTGAAGCACCTGATGATGAATTCAGGTTTCTATGAATAGTTTATTACTGTACATACGATTAATGGGAAAAATGAATCTTAATCATACGTAGCCCAGATGATCACAGCATAGATCTATACGTACAGTAATTTCAATTTTATTTGTTGATGAATGCGAAATATGATTATTAATCGTACTAATTTTGATCTACAGTGTATATACTGGAAGAATTCTGGTATTCTGTGGGTAACTCTGAAGTTTAATACAGCGTATAAGCGGTGCAAATCAGTTGTTCTTGGACTTCTTATTGCAACCACCAGCATATACGACGAAAAATGAGAAATTTTTTCTTTACAATAAGAAATTTAATCGTAATTATTTCCTCATGATTTGAGTATCCTAGCAATATTTTCCAAAGATATGATTGGTTTAAAAAAAATCGGAGCGGCCATGCTTCTATACAGTATACTGTACAGCAGAAATACTGGACGGAACAATGCAGCATTTCTTCATGCTGCAATAGATTTTAGTGGAAAAGTCCTCATCAGCTACGTACAGTATACTGTACTCCGATAAAGATGACTTATTGTTGCGCCATCAGCATGAAACTCTTTGAAAGGAACGCGGTCCGTGAATCTGAAAAACTTACGTTTTATTATCCAGAGAAATGCCACGGCAAAAGAGCCACATCACCAGCACATGCATGGATACCATCCGGAAAGTATATAATGGTCTTTAACAAATATATTTCAGTAAATTAAACCATATCATGTACGGTACATCATGTACATGTTATAACTATAAGCAACGCACACGTGCAGCACATCATCGTTCATGGTGTAGCTTGCCCGAATGGCTGTATCACGGAAATGCGACTTTTCATATTCACGCGAACCAATCCAAATAAATTTCCAAATTGTCATCCTTGATGCGCTGGCGTATTTCTTCATAACCTTCGCGGTCAATTCCAGGGCAAGACCAGATTCGGATCATATCCAAATTGTTGTCCGAATCCAATAAACGGCGAAAAACTTCAGTTGAAATTGAGCACTCGTTTGTCGTGATGTGGCTCAACAGCTTTAAAGGATTTTCCTGTTAACGCATGTATGAACTGCGTGAATAGAAATTTTCTTTTCTTCGCATTCCCGAAAGCAACCGCGAGCAACAAACAAATTTTCTGGGCACACCACATATGAGCGTAACTTCAATTACGATAGTTATAGCTCACCTTCACTATCTGGGCAAAAACGCCGTCATCAAAATGAACACAGCCTTGCAGCAACAGATGCTCCAAATTTTGCGACGATTTCATCAATATCACGATCACTTCCTTGGAAGGACCCGGGTGCCCTGGAGCAGACCAAATTTCCAGTGCCTTCAACTTCGTAAAGCAATACTCGTGTGGAACGAATGCGCCGATCGAAGCACCGGCGAAGGCAGCCTGAACGTTCGACGATGAACAATTCCCTTGCACGTCATCCTCACTGATCCGCCGCAATCTCCGCGACATATTCTCCTTCACGAGTTCCTCGGGTGAAGTGTAATGATAATCCGTGATCCCTGACAAAGCTAAGTTTTGGAGATTCGGGCAAGCAGACGCCAGTGCTGCATAGAAACGGAATGCGGGTTTCGTTTCGAAATGAATGATTAGCGACATACAAGGACGATTCAGGTACTATATACGCTGCACATGCACTGCAAATAGTCTGCACCCTTCGCGCCGCACGATACTTCTCGAACCAATTACAGTCATAGACAAATTGAAGAATTCTGTGGGAATGCAGAATGCTTTAAGAAATGTTCAATGCTCGTCCTTCCCGAATATAGAGTTATAGACGCATCAGATACAGATTATAGTGTATACTGTATAGGATTTACTGCACAGTACTTGGATCGTAGGCTGGAATGCCTCATCAAGCCCACTGAATCCGTTACTGCGCCGTCCGCTGAGTCAAACCAATGGATTTTTATCGACAAAAGAGGTAGGTAGATGACGCTCATATAGTACAGTATCACGCACTAACATCACGTACTGACCGACCTGACCTAACCAAACAATCGTAGATCACCGTATCTAGCTGCTGGTGAGTGATTTATGTGAGAAACTTGCTCGTGATCTACGAAGATATTTATAAATTTATCAATCTTCGGGTTCATATACAGCATGTGAAAGGAGTGAACTCCCGCCATTTTGTTTTTTGTATTGCGGGTAAGACGAACCCAAAATTCCGTCAGCTACGTACTGTATGTGGTATTACAGGTATATACAGTACTCGATGCAATCTACAGTAGACTGTAGAGTATGGTACACGACACACCATCTATATTACTGTTGTATCCAGTATCGAATACCGTAAATTGCATATAGCATGACACGTATTTTACTTATTTTGTGCATACCCGAAACTTATTCGACCTGAGAAAATAATTTAAAGTATAAAACAATGCAGTTCAGGAAATCAGTGTCCGTTTTTTCCTTAAAAAAGTTGAAATTGATTGAAGATCAATAAATCCAGCAGAATAGTTTCTTACCGTCGATATTTACGACGAGGAAATCCGTGAGGATCAAATTTTGCATCTGTTCTCCTCTCGCCTGCAAAATTGGCAGAACTCCCTCAAAAAAATCCAGAGTTCTGTCGTCGTCATTGGTGATGGACAAGTGCGTGAGTCTCTCAAATGCCATGAACTTCATGAGTCCTTCGTTGTCTATGCCTGAGCATTCCAACAACGTAATCTACAGATGGCAAGTTGTTGTCTATGTCAAATCATCAGTTCGCGGTGTTCATTTTTTGTTGTAAAAATGTATACTACAATTGCTGCACAGCCTTTTCATATTCCGACGATAAGCGTCTCAATTCAACCAGCTTGTGAACAATATGATGGTGATATTCTTAATGGACTGTTGGCAAGTTTTAAAATTTATATGCTCAAAAATTGCTGTTGAAAAGCAGCATCTCAAAAATTTTGGAAGGTAAAAAAAAAAAAATCATGAACAGATGTAACCTAAATGCATTTTAGCAACTTTTCATAGATTCCAAAAAAGTTATCCTTTTCGAAAATGAGATGCGATTATAAATCATTTATGGAACCTTTATTTACACTTATTTACAGTATACATCAGTACGGTACTGTATATATTAGTGCAATCAGTATCACAAAAGGAGGAACTTCGAAAGATCGGTAAACTGTAATTCAATTCTTTCTTCGTGAGATTTACAACTGATTCATGAAATTTTCAACAAAGATTTTGTAAGAGGGCTTCTTGATCCTATACGAGTATGTCTATATAATAAGTTATGCGTTTTTCAGGTCCACAATCACAGTAAGTTCCATAGTAATGACCAGCATATTCACTTTGACGGATGCACACCGTATATTTGTAGCTAATATTCTGGGAAAAATCAACTTTGTTGCGTAAAAATGTAAATTGAACCCCACTGCAAAATACAATTTGATGGTAATTGTTTGGTCTTACGAACAAGAGTGTAACAGAGAACCCCAAAATATTTTTGGAAGTGGGGATGAGGAGAGTTTCATGATCAAGAATACTTCGCTTGCAATTTTTTATGCCCAATTATATATGACGCGACCTACTTTTCTTGCTACAATTCATTGAAAAAAGTGCGCGTTGGTAATTGAGTAAATACAGTCTTATACGTACAGGAAATCTCGATCCATGACGAGAGCTTTTCTATAGGCAAACAAAAAAAACATATTTCTTTCATAAAGTGCGATAAAATGCCTCACCGACTGAATATTCGGACAAGTCTGAGTCGCAACCTCAATGCTTTCATGCGAGATGAACTCCCTGGTGGACGCAATCCGGTTCAATTGGAACTTCTCCAAACCGACCGCCTCTCCGAAGGACCCGTATCCAACGTACGAAGGCAACAGTGAGAAAACCTGTCAGAAAAAGATAAATCAACATTTCAACATTGTATCAGCAGCAGTCAATGATCCCCTTGGTACATGTATGTTATACAGTGCAACCCTGAGATGCGGTCATAATTGGTGCATCAAGAGTGTTCCTAAGTTGAGTCTCGTTTTCCCTTAGGCTTACATTATATAATTTTTGATTGATGTTTCATGTACAAAATACCCACCATAATTCCATAAAAATAAAAATGTTCTCCCAATTTAAACTGATTCAATCAAAATATTTCAACAGAATATGGACATTTGGGGAATTGAATACTGATATCTCTGTATACAGTACATAGAAATGATGGCATTCTCTGTAAAAAAAAAATAAAATTCAAGTGAAAAAGAGAGAAGGAAGTCCCTCTATGCAGGAGGTACTTTTTTCAAATTAGCTAAATGGATGGTAAATTGGTGAGAGAAATGCCCAAGAACTTTTCTTACATTAATTTTAGGGTTGGAANATGAAAGAAATATGTTTCTTGTAATTTGTCCTGAAATGTATTTGCAATTTTATCACAAAATGTCCCTATGTTGAGTCAGTGTGTCCTCATTTTAGGCATTTTTTATTAATTTTTTATGATAAAATAAGTGTCCCTATGTCGAATTGTCTGCATGTCAAGGTACGTGGGGGGCCTCACTGTAATTTTATAGTCCAACCTGGAAAAGAGCGGAATAGTCGACTTCGCACAACGAAGGAAGCGACTGTAACGCCGAAGCCACAGCGAAGGGAGTCACAGAAACGTCAGCTAAAACGAGTCGTCGCAGTTTCTGAGCGTGTTTCACTAGTGTGCCATCGACTTGCTTCGTCCTGTAAAGGGCTTGAATCGACTTGTCGTTGATTGCAGTTTCACTCAGGTTCAATTCAGCCAAGTTTTCGCAGTTCGTGGCTATGATGGAGACCACCTGTATACAGTATATGAAAATGGACAAATTAGAAGATTTTTGACGCTGCTTTTTATTACAGTGAGTGCCACCATCTTTCCGTGACATTTATGGGGCTCTTGAGACAGAGCTTTTCAACCAGCAGAAGCACCGATCAACATGTCTCGCAGAACGAACTTTAAAAAATCTTTGAAACTGATAACGTCTGTAAAATTGTCCATTCCTATTTTTTCCTCTCTCATTTCGTTTTACTTGATGAAAACAGTGACTCGTCCTGGATATATATAACAAAAACTGTCCTTCGAACGAATTCATAGTTATTTAAAATGTCCACTTCTCTTCGAATGTAATGATGGTAGGTAAGAGTCAGGAGGTGACCCGAAATATAATGTTCTAAGGTTTTAAAAATACATATTGCAGCTAATAGCATTTCAAGTGCGTTTTCAAGACCAGAAGATAAGCGTGTTTGAATTAAATTTAGACGGGGGAAATGTTACTGTGTAACCCTTGAGAGAATTTCCTTTTATGGAACTGCCCCGGGATTTAATGACTATGTTTCATGAATTGGTACTTGATGTACTCCAGACCTGTTGCACAGCTGGTTAATTTCTTTTTTTCAAAGTTTTCTTTGGCGAATTGACCTACGAAAGAACCCAATTCCTTCCGTCACCTTGCGAAACTTCTTTTTTTTTGTGCAGAGAACTGTGATTATTTAGAAAATCTTCTCAAGCAGACCCAAGATGATTTTAAAATTTCGCATCGCTGACGTTTCCCAAAGAATTCTCAGCCATGTATATATAGCAAAAATATATACTGCATTTGATTCAAATGTGCCTGGTAGTCTAACTTCTTAACTGAAACAAAATTGAAAAAGCATTGACGTGATCTTTTTTAACGACGTGTACTTCAAGTGTTCAGGATGTACCACTTCCTAAAGCTCGGTCCATCGTTTGTATTATTTTCCACCCTATGTAATAAAATTTATGTACGTGTTCTGATGAGACCGATTCCTTTTCTTAATTTTTTAATGTGTAGCCCATGTGCATCACTATGGTTGTAGTTCAATTAATATCATCTAGTAGTCTTTCACTGCCATGTATCTCTATTTCCAGGTCGAAGATATATTTCCCCATATAATTGGTGACTAAAAATCATCCCGATGATTTCATATTCCAGCATAAATTTCTTTAAAAAATTAAAGAAGCTTTCAAATCGAGGACTACGTTCGTAACTAGACCTAAGCCAAAGGAATTTTCTCTTCTCATGAACTGAAACAAAGTGTTCAACACTAAGTGAGTTCCAAAGCTCTGCTGATTTACCTCAGAACATCGAGATTTTTCGCATAAAAACGCAGTACCTCAAAACTGTGAACCCATATACAGTACTGTAAAGTACTGTGCGATTGCAGGTTTTCAACATGTGAAAGAGTGCTGTCTTTATTAATTGGTGTACGTTTTGAATTTTAGATGTATACAAGAGCTGTGCGTAGTTCAAGCATTAAAAATCAGTATACTGTATATCCAATTTTTTGAAATCTAGTAATTCATTTTTTCAAGTCTTTCATTCACCTCGGTAACTGTCAGTGTTCCGCGGAGGTTCACTTGGATCAAAGTCGTCAGGGGCTGAAAAAGCTTCATCAGGTCCTGAGGTCCCATCTGGTGCATGTAGGACAAGTCAAGCACTGCAATGTGCTGGGGATATTTAGAGACCATGGGCATGACATCGCTAATGATTTAATGAGGTTCACAGTACTTTGCAGCGGTCCATGAGAAACCGGATTGCGTAGTATATTTCTCCCATTCCTTGTCGCAGTCTGACAATGCGGTTGTTCTCATTGAAGACCATGTGAAGCATGTGCCGGGAAACTGTTCGCCTTTCGCAAAGCAGCTCGAAGAACTCGTCGAGTAAAACGGGAGCTTCATTTTTTTTTTCAAAAAAGTTTGAAACGAAATGATGACACTTGTAGAGCAGTTGAACCTCTATACAACACGAATTTCAAGGGTCTATGAAAACAAAACTGAGTTGGAGAGATTTTCGTGTTGAGAAAAAATCCTTTTTGTCGTGGAAAAGAATAAGAAGAATTATTATTTAGAGGAATTTTTGTGGTTATATTTTGAGCCTTGAATTGTTTCTCGAATGAATTGACATGATGCAGACGCTGAAGGCATGGGTTTATTTGCCCAATTATTATTTTTTATTTCCTTCCAAAGCACAGGGAGCTACATTTTTATTCATGTTCTCTTTCCTGGGTCATATCCCATACAATAGCTAAAAGGCCTCCAGAAAATTTGAGTTATGGAGGTTTGGAGGTTTTATTCTTTTCCACAACCTCCCTTTGAGTCAGGGAGGTTTTTCATGCATGATATCTATGACGGATTTCAGACAGGGAATTGGCAAAAAATTCGACATCGGGAGGGTATTCGACTTGGGAGGTTTTGAGCTATCGAGATTCGACTGGATAATATTAAAATAAATAAAATCTGTGACTTTGTTGTTATGTACCGAGTTCCTTGAACGGGGACGCAAAGTTCAAGTAAGCGTCGTCTTCCATGATGAGGGCGAACAGCTGGGAATCTTGCAAGCCGTAGCAGATTTTTTCGAAGTTTTTTGCAATGTTGTTCATGGCTATAGTTTGCAAATTTTCAACACACTTTTTACGAGGCATTTTTTAAAAATTCAGTCGGTAACCTGTTGGGTATAACACGAACCGATAGACACGACCACGCAGTGGAGACTGAACGCGATATTTATATCCCGCTCCCGAAAATCCTCACGCGCAGTTCGTAGATGAGGCAAAATAATTGGCGAAGTGCCAAATCCGTTGAACTTGGAGACTTCTTCAGCAGTTAATAACAATCCTCAATGAAGGAGAGGAACACATCATAATTGAATATACAGTGTCAAACATTAAATTTTTGTGTGTTCAGAATGAATAACGCATGGACCTTACCGAACATTCATCATATGAAGCAATTAATCTCACTCGCCTTTGTTTTTTGTGTGCTGACGCGACATCTGTTTTAGGAAAGACCAACCAATGCGTACAATTCTTCCGTAGATGTAGCTCAAAACCAGAATAAAATTCCGAAGCATGTGTTGGCAAAAGTCTTCTATTTCCTCTTAACGAATCAACAAAAACTCAAAAAGCGACCAGCAATTCAAGTATCAAGATTCATGACCTTGATGTTGCTTTTCTTTCGATTGATCTTTTTTGTTTTTTGTTTATTTTTTTCACACGAAATCTTCAGCCTCGCGCGGTAACACAATAAACGTTCGATCGCATGCAATAGCTAAGCCAGGTAACACAACTCTTTCTCTCAAACGCGTCTTCTCATCTCTCATCTTCTAAAAAAGATGAGGGAATTAATCCTAATTGTCATTTTCTCAAACGCCACACACCCTTCAGAAAAAAAAAGTTTCCGGAGCAATTTGTTCATCAATTTCCAAAACGTTTTGAAAGATCAACAAGGAGAACCACGTAGGAAAAATTCACAATGAAAAATTTGTCAAAAGGGGCAATATGTGACTTTTCCACGGGTTAAAATAACGGAATCAAAGGTTCTGCTCTTGGATTGCCTATAGGAAACTCTAGACATTTTGTTTTTCTCGCTATACTGCCGGAAAAAATCTCTTACATTTCAGAATTTCAGGTGTATTCAAATTTGAATCACCAGCAGAATCCAACGAACACCTATACACCTGATGCGCTTTTTTTTCTCCTCCCAAGCTATTATGGTAACTCCTTTTGATTAGTAGGCGACATCTATGTGACGTTGCTTAAAACTATTGGATAGCGCAGCGATGGCTTTTCCATTGAGAACTGACTGTATCAAAAGTCAGCAATGCGCTTCCTGACGGGGACGAGCCACACACAGCAAATCATTAAAAAAAAAAAAATTCAAACTTCGCTGTAAAATTCCGTTGCAGTACAAGTGCCGTCTTTCGTCTTTGGCTTTCTTCCCCTCCGCTTTTCCTCCAAAAAAGAAGCAACAAAAAATTGCCGTCTGAAAGCCTCTCGGAGTGACACCATAACGCTCAAACCCCCATCTCCCAAACCTTGCCTTCTTTCATGACACTCATGGGTATTGTGGGTGAGTCTCCGTGGATAGTGGAAATCCTGCCAGCAGTCCCGCTGATTTGACTGTACGGCGGCGACGAAGACTCGGACGAATCCTTCGGGCTGAAAGAGCTCATCGTCGCCACACTGCGGTCGCAACTCGTGCTCGTGGTTGCATTCGCTGTTTGAACCGCACTGCTGCGATGCTGGTGCTGCTGCTCATGCTTTTGATCTGACGAGGAAACGCAGAGAAATAAAAAAATCCAGGTGAATATTTAAATAAAATACACACGACTTTAAGCGACTGTGTTCGTCCGTTTTTTTGTTGGGTTTTATTCAATGTAGCATAAACCAAAGTCAATATGAGCAGTTATAGAATGAATATAAAGTACAGTACAGTACAGGTCCTGTATTATTGGTTCACATTTTTTGCTGTACTGTAAACAGTATTTGTTTCCAAAATTTTCGCTATACACTGGTGGACTCTCTCTGCAAAGAAATTTAAGGGAACAGAAAAGTTCGTTGTAGCGATAGTTTCGTTGTAGAAAACACGTATAACATGGGGAGAATCCACCGTGCGGCATCAAAGAACATTTCGTTGTACAGAGAAAATCGTTGTAGAGATTTTCTACGTTGTAGAGATTTGTATAGATATTCTACGTTGTAGAGATTTGTATAGATTTTCTACGTTGTAGAGATTTGTAGAGATTTTCCACCATTTGTTTCTAAAATGTTCTCTATATTTTTATTCATAACATTTTGGGACTCAAATCGTTTTCAAACCTTCATCTCGTCACACGCAGTAATTGTTTCTAAATTTTCACTACGTAGGTATGCTTTCTAAATTTCCCATACAGATGTCTTTCTGGATTTTTGCCAAATATTTGTTACAATAATTTTCACTGAAAATCTCTGAAAAAAGCAGGTAAGATTACTTGAAGTCTTTAGGACGCATGAAAGTGCATTTTTTTTTTTTTCAAAACTTTTGAAGCCATTGCACTTCAAATTAAGGATTTCAGCTTAAAGCTTAAAGGGTAAGATGAACTTCGAAAAATTCTGAACTTGAAAAACACAGAAAAAAATACATGCTATGTTTCACGAGGAATTCAGCTTTACCGCCTTTATAAACCAAGATCGTTCAGTCAAAACATCTTTAGAAGTTGATATTTTGAAATAAAAATCTCTCATGTACTTCAGAATATTTTTCTCATGCGGAAAGTGTCCTGAGATGAGTGAAACAAATCTTCATGATGCAAAGATAATTTGTTGTGAATTCACTATATATTTGTTCAAAATGATGCATCGCATAAAGTTAAATTCTCGGTTTTGCTTATTTGCCGAGGGCAGCTTTTTTTGGCCAAGAAATGTTCCTTTGATGCCGTTTCTAAAACAATTCCAAGTTTTTGAGCCAAAAACTTAATCAACTCAACCCCTACCAGAAATTAATTTTCTCTCAACGAAACAAAACGTACGAAAACAGCGCAACAAGCAACTTGAAGTTCAGTACTGCCAGCTGGGCTTTTCAAAACTTTAAAGCCCCACCTGATGATGCACATAATTTACGAACATTCCCACCATTTTTTTTTTGGCAGCGGATAAAGCTGCATTGTAAAAAGAGATAACTGTGCGCCGACAAAACCGCTGGCTGCACTTCATCAAATTATTTTTCTCGATCGAAATCCCGCGATTTATTTCCCCCTTCCTAAACACTCCCGAAACAAAGAAGGGAAAACCCAGAAGTGCAGTATTAAGTTTCACTTTGAATTTGTTAAAAAAATTTATAATTTCTGGATTTTAGCAAAAAGAGTCATGCCACAGCTCATCAGAGCAGTGCGAATAATGCAGTAATTTTATGCGCTCAAAAAAACTCAAAATAAATATTGTTTTGATCCCCACCATTGCACTCCCTCTGCTGTTGTTGCTGATGCTGGTGTTGCAGAAACAGGTGCTGTCGCACCTGAGCACCATGGTCCTGGTAGTGATGGTGCCCATTGCACTGCGCCCTGCCACCAGTGCTGTTGATGAATCCACTGCTCCCAGCTCGTCTGCCAGCACCTGCCGTCTGAGTAGCTCGACACTGCAAAGTCCCCGCAGCACCGTACATGGTGCGTTGCAGATTCTGCAAACTAGAGCTGGAAACTGTCCGCTCCAATATCTCTCCCCAGAAACGCTCTCCGATCCGGTCCCAGTCCGGCGTGGGACTGCCACCCTGCGGCAACAAGGCGAACTCCACCTGCGGAAAGGGCGAAATACGAGGGCGTTGTCTCAGATGGAGGCGACCTCTGTTAATTTCAAGAGTTAGTTGTAATTGCTGAGCGGGAAAAAAAAATCGTGGCATAGCCCATGGTGTTCTAACGCTGTGCGACATTTTTTTCGGATTTTTTAAAGAGTTTTTCAATTTACTGCGTGATGATAAGTGAAAACTTTTCAGTTATACCCAGAATTCTCCGCTCATGTTGAGGAAGATAAATGTGAGTTTCACACCTAGCTTTGAAAAATAGCAAGAAGTTGAAATCGCTCAAGAAACATTGACTAAAAGAGTTGAAAATATATAAGAAAATTTTTTTTTCAAAGCTTCTTGAGTTGAGAATTGATAATCAAGAATCAAGTACAGATCAATCAGCCAGGCTGCGGCCGGGACTTTTGTCCTTGTTTAAAGTTCCTGTATTATTCAAGGATAGGAAAACTGATTGTAAATTAATGTGATTGGTGAACCACACAGGGGCACAATTCAAAATGTCACTGAAAAAATGCGCTTGCTCTCCAGAGATCAGCTCCATTGAACAGCTCAGCACAGAATATGTCGAAAAACGGTTTTCAGATTGATTCAACACATTGATTCAAAGGATTATTTTTTGGAGGTCAAGATTGACCATTTTTGAGGACACTCATTTTGCATGTCCTTGTGGGGCTTGGGAACCAAACTAGCAAAACAAATCAGCGAGGAAAAATTATTGCTGATTCAGCATGGGGCAAAGAAGACGCCTCCATAAATATTTTCCCACACATGTCAAAGGGTAATGTAAATTTGTCTGGCTACCTTAAACAATTTGATTTTTTTGTGTTTTTCTAACCAGCACCTAAAATATAGAAAAGGGAATGGGCAAAACAACAAAACATGAAACCCACTCTAAAAATATAAGATGTTGGCTTCAACTATGGAACGACCTTTTAATGTCTACAATAAACAAGCCAAATTACTGCAAAAATAAGACCAAGTTGTTGAACAATACTTGCTTACAGTTTTGTTCTCAAATCTGAATGTTTATTTTCTTCAGAAAATAGGATACTGTTGTCCCTTAAACTTTATAAGTTGAGTGTACCATATTTACAATATATTTTTACACTGGTTCAAACAAGTACAAAGCACACAATATACATACACAAACAGTTTTAATTACAAATGACTGCAAATCTTTTCTATTGATTAACTTTAAAGTTTAAAAGGTTAGCTAATAATCCTTACTTAACTCATCAACCTCTAGAAATGATCTGAGTCTTTTAAATGGACATTCTCCATTTAAATAGACTCTGAGAGGAAACAGGAAGAAACACATCCTAGCATGTTTTTCCACAGCACAGTTTTGTGACAAGAAGGTTAAAAATAGGGAGGATGTGGTCATGATGTGGGGAGGTCAACTTATCTAAAAAAAGAGAAGTGTTCCTTTCAT